TTTATTATTGTTATTTTATGTGTATGAGTGTATGGCCTGCATGTAGGCAAGTGCATCTGTGTCATGCAATGCCCGCAGAGGACAGAAGAGGCTGTCGGATTCCCTGGAACTGGACTTATAGATAGTTGTTAGCTGCCATGTGGGTGCTGGGATTCAAACCCGCGTCTTCTGCAAGAACAATCAGTGTTCTTAACCACTGAGCCATTGCTCCAGCCGCCCTCTTGCTCTTATAACCCCCCCAACTTGATGGTTCTGATGCAATATGGTTTTCTGACTATACCTTGACTAATACAACTGCACACCACAGTATGGGAACTCTAAGGCGTTACAACTACATAGGAATTCTAAATCATCCCTGACTATAGATTCATAAAAATCAATTTATAAAGATTATTCTTCCTGCAAAATGCATGACTATAATCTCAGCACTTAGGAGCCTGAAGTAGGATAACCATAGCAAGTTCAAGGCTAGCCTAGGCTATGTAGTAAAACCTTGTCTCAAAACAAAACTCACTCTACCAAAAAACCTGACTATAAAAAACAGAACACAGGGGGCTGGAGAGCTGGCTCAGCAGTTAAAAGCACTGGCTGCTTTTGCAGAGGACCCAGGTTCAATTCCCAGCATCCACTAACAATCATCTATAGCTCTAGTTCCGGGATCCAATGCCCTCTTCTGACTGCCACAGGCACTGCATGACACAAGTGCACTTAACATACATGTAGGCAATATACTCTTTCCCATAAAAAACCGAAAACTAAAAACCAAAAATCAAAAAACCCCAGAACATAGTTTAAATGGCAAAATCATCATATAATTAAATATTTACAAAACGGAATGAAGACACTGTCTGCTAAAGCATGAACTGCCAATGTTTACTCTGAGAACAGACAGAAATACATCCTATCTTGGGGAGGCTGATGTGGTTTTGTGTGCTTCATACTTATGTCATACCAGGGAAAAACACGAAACAGAACAAATCATTATGTCAGGCCTACCTGGTCAAGGCATGCATGAACTATCTGAATTAATTCCAAAGAGTACTGGCTAGAATCAACTTCCATGGCCCGGATTCCTTGCACGATCTTCACACATAGGTTGAGTGGGTTCTATGAGAAAATGATGACTGCATTGTTACTGGTTATATAAAGACAGCATTATAATCTACCAAGCAGGGGTTCAGAGGTGTCTGTGACCATTATTTAAGAACTGGCAACAGCTCCATATTAGCTGATTTCATTGTATAACCATTAGTATGCAGCATAAGGGAGAGATGCAGTGCTGCTATCAGACAGAATGATGCTAACCACCTAGTAAAGAGACTAAAATTCTGATTGTGCACCCAAAAGCATGTTCTTCAGAATGTATTATAATCTGATCCTTCAACCAAATTTCAGGAAAAAAAGAAAGCATAGGCAGATGTAATAGCATACACCTATAATCTCAGCACTTGGGAGATTGAGGCAGAAGCATCAGAAGTTCAAGGTCATCCCTGACTACACAGTGAGTTTGAGGCCAGCCTGGACTACAGGGGACCCTGTCACTTAAAAAAAAAAAAAAAAAAAAGCATAATTACTTAAGTTTCTTGGCTTCCCGTAACTCCCTTGCCAAGTAATTTGCCTCTAGTAAATAATTTACAAGGCATCTTTTTTAAAAAAAAACAAACTTTTTAATGTCTATGAATATTTCATCTGTAAGTGCACCATGTGTGTACAATGCCTGTGGAGGCCAGAAGAGGGCACTGGATCCCCTGGAACTGGTGTTATAGACAGTTGTTGGCCACCATGTGGGGTGCTGGGGACTGAACCCAGGTCCTCTAGAACAGCAAGTGCTCTTAACCACTGAGCCATCTCTTCAGCCTCCCTTCCCTTTTTCTGTTTTTGAGACAAGGTTTCCTTGGCTGGCCTGAAACTTGCTGTGTAGATCAGTCGGGCCTAGAATTTGGAGATCTACCTACCTCTGCCTGTGGGTGCTGTGATTAAAGGTATGTGCTACCATGCCTAGCCCACAGGGCATCTGAAATAAGATAACAGCAGTAGTATGATAGTACTGTCACCATCTTAGAAAGGCATATTACATATATCTTTTTTTATCCTAACAAATATAATGCAAGAAGTTATGATTATCAATTTGTATATAAGAAAGATAAGGCTCAGAAATTTAATTAGCCCCAAATCACAGATAGTAAAAAAGGAGGCGTCATTCCAACCAAAGTCCATCTGATTTTGTAAGACATTTTCTTCCATTTTAATATTTAGGAGAATTAGATGATAAGCCAGAACAAACTTCAGGATTTAGAAAAAGAAACAGGTCTCACGAAAGATCAATGAGTTTGCATTACATTTGCTTTCTTTCATACACAGTGTCAGAAAACTTCCAAAGGGGATATGTATATTATTTCCATGTTACAAACAACGAAAATGATCATAGAAATGATTTGTCTACTTCTCACACATGGTAGAAGGAGAGGGCCTGTGAATCTACCTCAGCTATCCAAATTATGGCCTACGAATAATGCTCTCAGCATCATCTGAGAGCTTGTTAGAAACACAGAATATTGCCTCATCACACCCACATCTGCTGAAAGAGAATCTACGTTTTAACAAGATGCTCAGGTGATTATGCATATTAAAGTCTGAGAGATAGTTTTATGCATTAGGTTTTAACTTTAAAGAAGAGAAAATAAAAAGATTTAAAGAGATTTGCTGTCCATAAAAAAAATGACAATCTTTACTAATAGTGTGATTTTTCATAAAAAAGATCAAAACACTCTAACAGGTATTGCATAATACGCCTGAGCTTTAAAAAATTGATGTAAACAAAACAATGAAAAACCACCTGCCGCATGTCTGTAGTCCCAGCACTAGGGAGGCAGAGGCAGGTGGAGCTCTGTGAGATCAAGGCTAGTCTGGTCTACATAGGGAGTTCCAGCTGGGGTTACAGGAAAACCCTGTCTAAACAAACAAACAAACAAACAAAAAAACCAAAGAGATGAACAATCAGAAAATTGATGTAGCTGAAGTCCAAGAAATGAAATGAACTTTCAAACTGTAGTACCACACAGTTGAACCTAGAGACTATTTTAAAATTATAGTCAACAAATTTAGGTACAGTGCTCAAACTGCTTGATAATGGTCATTTTGATGAGGGAATTTAAATTGGAGATGAATCTGGCTTATAGCATTTTAATAAAATACTACTAATCCAGTGCTTAACTACAGTGCTTAACTGTTATTTTTGCCTACAGGCAATTTCTATTCCATAAACCAGAAGTTCAAGGATAAATGAAGTTGATTCACTTAACCAACAAGTATCATTTGCAAAGATAACCTGGGACAATACATCTACTTACTGTAGCATCAAACGTTCTCTTCAGTGTAAGCAGTTCAAAAATGACACAGCCGACTGCCCAGATATCAGACTTGAAATTGTACTTTACTCCTTGGCAGAGTTCTGGAGACATGTAATATGGAGTTCCCACAAGCTAAACAACAAAGAAAATAACAGAGAATAACTTCTCTTCTGAGGTAACTATATTAACATTTCAACAGCTAAACTGTGATAACAATCACAAAACATTGTCAGCGGTTGCAAAATGGTTTTTAGGAGATGATACCAATACAAAGAGAAACAGTACTCATATCCAGTCTCCTAGGCCAATTATAAAAGGACCATCTACAGTAAGGCATTGTGGCTAACTTGTAAGACAAAAAGCTCTGTGATTTATACCTCACACAGGCTTTAGGCATTCAAGTCCTATTAAATACTTCAAACAATAAGAACTATAAAAGTTTACCAATGGGGGTGTGCTTCAGAGATGGCTCAGCAGTTAAGAGTATTTCTGCTGTATCAGAGGACCAGAGTTGTTTGGATCTTAGTACTCATAATAGGCAGCTCAAAAATGCCTGTAACTCCAGCTTTAAGGGATCTGATGTCCCCTTCTGGCCTTCATGGGTACACACACACACACACACACACACACACACACACACACACACCCCACACACAA